TGAGCCGTTCAGAGCTGGGTTCAGCTCGGGCTCACGCCCCAGAGAGCGAACAAGCAAAATCGACTAAAAAGGCAGCGCAGCAGGTCGCCACGGCGCAAACCGCCGAAGACCTCAAAAGGAGGGCGGGGCGCCGGAAGAGGAGAGGAGCGGAGAGGCGACGCCTCAACAAGTGGATCAACGACCATCCATCATTCAGAATGGCTCAGTACAACATGTAGAACTAATAACATTCAGTGTCACTCGTAGGTCCTCAACAACTGCCGAGGGAATCAAGAAAGGGCATGATAGCCTGGGCGGCCCCTGCTCCTCCTCCTCCTCTTCCTCCCCCCCCCTGCCCCTCCTCTTCCTCCTCTTCCTCCTCCTCCTCCTCTTTCCCCTCCTCCTGTTCCTCCTCTTCCTCCTCGCGCTGACCGTTCGCGCGCAATGGCGCGGAGAAAGAAAAGGAAACAATGGGCTGACCCTGCGGGCGCAATGCCCAGCGAGGCGGCGGAAAGGAAAAAACCAAGCTGGCTGACCCTGAGGGTGCAATGCCGCGGAGAAAGGGAGCAAACAATGGGCTGACCTTGCGGGTGCAATGCCCAGCGCGGCGGCGGAGAGGGGAAGAGCCGTTTGGAGCGACGGGCTCGCGCCCTTGCAGAAACTGCATACGCTGCGCCAAGCGCGTCTTACTGCTCCTCCGAACTGCGCCGAGCGCGAACGCGGTTTTTTTGTTGTTACAAAAAAATCAGAGGTCCCGACCGATGCCGCGCGCCATCCTCTCTAGGCGCCCCTCCTCGGCGCTCTTCGTCCGAGTGCCTGGTGTAGGATGTGCTGGTGGAGATGCGCGGAGCGTCAAGAATTGTTCGTAATGCGTCGTGGGTGCCGCTTTCGGTGGAACTCCCTATGGGGCCACGGAGCGCTGCCATGGGTGGGGGGAACGCATGCGAGAGCAGCCGCTAGGGCCTTCGGTGGAGCTCCTTATGGGGCCACGAAGCGCTGCCCTGGGTGGAGGAACCGCATGCGATAGCAACCGCTGGGGCCTTCGGTGGAGCCCCCGGGGATGTTGCATTTCGAATCGCGTCGGGCGGTGCATTCGATAATTGTGATGCGCAATGCCGGATGCTTAGAACAAATTAAGCATCCGCCTAGAGGGTGCTTATCACTGCGCGTCGCCGGCGTCCGCTGATGCCCCGGGAAGTCGGGCCCCCCGCCGCCGGCGCGCGCGCCGCCGGCGCCGAAAACAAAGCGCCCATCCAGAGAGCCAGAGACCTTTGCGACGGCGCGGGGTTCGCCGCCATCAGACCCAAAGGAAGATCTTGGACTTCGCAGTGAGCTTCGCGCCCTCGTTGTTCCTGCGCGTGCCATCGAACTATCCGCCATCGCGCAGAGGGGGGCTCTGCTCGGACCGAGAGGGCAAGCGCGGAGAGACGCGAGCTTCAACGCCGCAGCCGACGAGCTGCGCGGCCACGCGCGCGTCTTCCAAGGGGGGCCCAACGGGTGGCGCTTGGCGAGCCCAGCTCGAGTGGAGCTAGCCAGCGCGCGGCGCGATGCACGACGACCAGGGCGCCTCCAGTCGTGGGCCTACCTACCATCGGGGCGAGTCGCGCGCGCGCTTCGTGCGTCCAAGATGGTTCTTCCCGCGGCGCGCCCCGACCACCGGGCGCGGTCTGGGCTCCGTCGCCGCGGTCAAATAAGGCCTCGACAACCGAGTCAACGCGAGGTCTTCCGAGCGAGAGGCAAGGCCAAATGTGCCGCGTGGAAACGCGGCCTCCTCTGCGGCGGGGCCCGGGGGCCGCGCCCTGCGGAGACGAATCAGGGCCGGCATCTCCGCCGACCCATCTCCCCCGCGCGACCGGCGCAGGCGACCAGGAAAAACCATGGGCGGACTTTAAGTCCCCGAGTCGGGAAGTGGCAACGACTGCTCTGGACACCGTGATCGCCGAACACCAATGGCGAGAACCGCCGTCGCGCGCTAGACGCTGCAGCCTTCCTGAGCAAGACCCCCGGGCCATGGGTCTCCAAGTCGCCCTCGCCGAGGACGAGCCCCCGCGGCCCGTCCCGCGGCCGGCGCCAGACGGCCCTGACGACGACAGCGGGGAATGCGCCGACGACGCCGGGGCCGGGTGGGCGCGCGCTGCCGCCGACGTGGCCCGCCTCAATATGCCCGCCCGCTTCTCGCCAGAGCTGGTCTCGGAATGCGCCGCGGCCCCGGCCGCTGGCTCAACCGCTCGGGGCGCGCAGTCTGGGGCAGTCCGCGCAGAGTGCCGACCGAGATCATGGCCGTGCTTTATCTCGTCGCCGCGGCTTAACGGCCCGCCCACGCTTTCGTCGGCGCCCGAGATGTCGGCGACAGATTCGATGACCTCCCCGGCGGCAAACCGCTCCAACGCGCGGGTGCCCGGGCCGACATCTGGCTGGAGATCCACCGTGTCGTCGAGGCCAAACCGGACACGCTCGCAGCCCAGATGATTGAATCCCATTTGGGTGAGCAAGGCATCAGCGTTGGGCGCATTATGCCGCTTGCTCACGCAGTCAATCGAGGGTCCGGAACGGGGGAAGTGCAGGCCGGGCGGGGATGGCCGAACAAATTGCCAAGGACTTGCTTCTGAAATAAGGGCTGCCGCATGCTTGAATATCATGAATCACGCAATGCCCAATTCGTCGCCCACACGAACAAGCATGCCGCGCGTATGCGGCGGCTGCGCAAGTCTCTGGGGGCCCTCTCGGGCATCTTCTGGGGGGGGGATCCTGTGGGGGCCATCTGCAAGGATCTTGGCGCCCTCTTGGGGCGTTCGCGGGGCTCTCTGGGGCCTCGATGAAAGGCCCGCGAAGGAATCCCGGGGCCATCTGGGACACCGGGCGCGCCGATCCCCGCGGCGCCGTCGGGTCCGGGAGACTGGCCCCGCGGCGGCGCGCGCGCTGGGCTTCCTCTCGACGGCAGAATTGCGTCGTCGACGGCCCGACCGCGCCGGTGCCCGCGGGGGCCGAGTTCTCGACGGGTCGGGGGGAGTGCGCTGGAGACCCGCAACAGCGCCGCTGTCGGTGGGGGCCGAAGTCTTGGCGGCGCGGCGCGGGGCGCGCGTCGAGAGCGCACCCCGTGGGGCGCCGACGAGGCCTCGCGGGGCCCCCAAGGGGCTGCCCCCGCCCGCCCGCAACAACAGTCGCCCCCCCATCGGTTGCCCAAATCAAGAATCGTCGGATCCACGCGCCACCCCAAGGGGGTCTTATGAAGCTGCGCGCCCACCCCTAAAATACGATCGACCTTGTAACACTGCTTCGGGCGATGCCTGCCACACGGCTGCTGCCGCATGGCCGCCACTAGTGGGGTGGCGCTTGACTTCGCCAGTGCCGGACTGCAAGATATTACATACGCAATCGAAGTTCAAACTTTGTTTCTAAAGATTTGCGCCTTTGCGCCCAATCCCGCCCTTGGGCGAGATCCCGCTTTTGTGAGCTCCCGATCCTATCGCCGCACTGGCGAACTCGGCGCAGCTGGCGCATGCCTACAAATCGCGCCGCAAGGCCCCATCGATGCTGATAGAAACAAACGGAATAAGCTCGCAGCCGCCCTCCACAAGCCGGCGGTCGCCATGGATGACCGGCGCCGCCAGACGTGTCCCCGGCCAGACAGAAGGAGCGGGCGACTTTGGGGCTGAGCTCAGCAAGATGAAGCCCGACGTTCTTACAATTGGCCGTGGCGGCCACGAGCCACCAGGCTCACCGCGCTGCACCGCTCATCCCGACGGCCCACCAACTACTTCGATCACGTCGACGATCCTTGGACGGCCTGCTCGACGATTTTGACGGCGAGGAACTAGACCCGCTCGGGCTTGGCGCCTCCCTGGGCGATGGTGGAGAAATCGTTCTCCCCGTCCACAAATCACAGCAACGACAATCACAACGACTGCAACGATCACCGCGACGCGTGCCAATCAGGACTCCCCAAGCGGGCCGAAGTCAACAGGACCAAGCCGCCATTACCATTCCGCACCACCGCAAGGCCAGCTCCTCCTCCCATCGGGGTATGGGGAGCAGCGAACGTCCAGGGACTGCCGTCGGAGCGAAACTCAATGCTACGGGGGCCCTGAGGCCAGACCGTGGGCAATCCCTCACGCAACACTTCTCAGCTGCCAATCGGAAGTCAAAAAAGAACCGCGACATGGCCCGCTAGTATCAACACGCTGCACCAGCGGGCCAACCACCTCGCCCAACCTGTGCAGTCCATCCAGGAACAGTCAGTTTCTTTGCCGGACTGGTCCCACCGAGCACAAGCTGCCTGGGGCGGCCTCTGGCACGCCATCCGACCTGCCGCTTCCCCGCTGCGTCCCTCCAAGACGGCCTCCAGGCTCTCCTTGCTGCTCACCGCGCGGCACACAACTGCTAGCGTTCCTGCCCTCCCAATGGGCTCCGCGACAATGTTGCCTCCCGTTCCGTTCACAAGGTGGCGCCGCCACCGTCTGGGCGCCTTATCACGCATGCCGAAACGTGTGTACAGCCGGCGTCTCTGTGTTTTCGGGTGTGCAAATTGTGCAGAGGGGGCGAGCCTCGCCGTTATCACCATTTCCCACCTCTGCTTTCCAGTCGGGGTCCCCACAAACCGCGCCAAGGGGGAGGGTAGTCTATCGCCCAAGCAGCACCTCCCGCCTCACGAAATGGGCGCGGCAGGGGCTAGGACCCCATGCGCCCAAACGCACAATCCGACTGGTTTGTTGCGATCTCCTTCACATTCTCCCCCCTTCACGCCTTTCACATCCCCCTCCCTTCTCCCCTCCGACCTCTCCCACCCCTCTCCCACCCATCTCCCTCCCTCCCCCGTTCCCCTCCTCGCCCTCCCCCATGCACTCCGCCGTCTTTGGCGAAACCAACCAATACCATCACCGTTGCTCCCGGGACCTCTCCCGGAGTGCGTTCTGACCGAACTTTCGCGGCGAATCCAACTGTGGCGACGGATGGATGCCCATAAGGGTGAAAACGAGGAAAGGCAGGGGCATTGGTACCTTCTCCTCCCGTGAATCCTCTTCCCTTCCACCCCCAAGGGCCCCCACAGGGCAGAACGCGCCAGGCCCGCGAACCCCGCTGGGGCCCGCCAGTGCCCCCTCTACGCCGCTGCCCCGCAGCCGCTGCCGGTGTTCTGCGCGCGCGGTGCGACGGCGCGGGACGGAAGGGACGGGGAATGTTTTTAAGGTGCATCCGGTCGTGGCGGCGAGAGGTTTCGCGGAGGCAAGATAACAGGGCGAAGCGTGCCCAACAATTGTCTCCCCTCGGTTATCGTACTCCTCTCCTTCCTCATGCTGTATAATCGAAGCATGGCCACCATAACGTGGGTCAGTAACATGGGCCCCTTCGCCGAGGCCAAGGATTTCCAAGGTGGCAACAGAGAACACAAGGGTACCCCTCGAATGTGATGGGAAGCGTTAGTCGCGGGGGGCGGGGGCCAGCTTACGGGGGGAACGTCGAGCTGGAATCGGCGACACATCGCTGATAGATCGGCGATAGGCCCCCGATGGCGAATCCGAGTGTTCCTGGGCGGGGTAGGCTATCGAGCCCCCTATCGGCGATCAATTGGCGATTGGGGGTGGATGCGTTCCCCCCCTGAGGCTATCCCCCCTAGCGCTGTCCCTGAAGGGCCACTGAGGCCAGGACGGTGCAAGCCAGGACTTCTTGAAAATTCCAGTTGGAGAGAAGGAAGATTGGAGAACGTTTCGGCCCACGGCTGCAATTTCCTCGGGCGCGCGAGTGTCCTGCTCGACCAGAAAGTCCCACCAGCCCTCTGGGCGTAGGTGGTCTAGAGCGCTTCCTCTTCCAACCCCCTTCTTCCGCTTCGGGGAGGTACCACTGTTCCCAATGGGCAATTACACAATCTGAATCCTTCTTTTTTGCCGCAAGCGATGACCACTGACCACTTGCAACGTAGGTGCGACCACGGCGCTGTGTTGGTACCCCTGTGGCATAGTCAGCCATATATATATATATATATATATATACATAAATAAATAACCCTGTGACGTACCCAACCCATTTGTATCATGGGAAACGAGGAGTTGGCCGAAACTTGCACGGACAATCAAATTGCAGTATCCGTTGTTTGATATGTAAGCTACTTGGGACAAGCTCAGCAGCCCTCGAAAGTGGCGACAGTTTCACAGATCGCAGTCCCCAGCAGCCCTCGAAACGAAGCGACGAGCGAGGTAAGAAAGTGGCGACAGTTTCACAGATCGCAGCCCTCCAGGGATGGCGAGGTCCCATTTGAATCCGCCGTGGGTACCCACTGTGCTGGGCCCCCCAGCAGGCCTCGAAAGTGGCGACAGTTTCACAGATCGCAGCCCCCCAGGGATGGCGAGGTCCCATTTGAATCCGCCGTGGGTACCCACTGTGCTGGGCCCACCAGCAGGCCTCGAAAGTGGCGACAGTTTCACAGATCGCAGCCCCCCAGGGATGGCGAGGTCCCATTTGAATCTGCCGTGGGTACCCACTGTGCTGGCCCCCAGCAGGCCTCGAAAGTGGCGACAGTTTCACAGATCGCAGCCCCCCAGGGATGGCGAGGTCCCATTTGAATCCGCCGTGGGTACCCACTGTGCTGGGCCCCCCAGCAGCCCTCGAAAGTGGCGACAGTTTCACAGATCGCAGCCCCCCAGGGATGGCGAGGTCAAATTTGAATCCGCCGTGGGCGGGTGCACGCTGTGCTGGGCCCCAGCAGGCCTCGCAGTGGCGACAGTTCACAGATCGCAGCCCCCCGGGAGATGGCGAGGTCCATGGATCCGCCGCGGTGCACACTGTGCGGGCCCCCAGCAGGCTGACAGTGGCGACAGTTTCACAGATCGCAGCCCCCCAGGGATTGCGAGGTCTAATTTGAATCCGCGGTGGGTACCCACTGTGCTGGGCCCCCCAGCAGCTCGAAGTGGCGACAGTTCACAGATCGCAGCCCCCAGGGATGGCGAGGTCAATTTGAGTCCGCGGGGTCCCACTGTGCTGGGCCCCCCAGCAGGCCTGGAAAGTGGCGACAGTTTCACAGATCGCGGCCCCCAGGGATGGCGAGGTCAATTTGAATCCGCCGGTGGGTAATGTGCTGGGCCCCCCCGCAGGCCTCGAAAGTGGCGACAGTTTCACAGATCGCATCCCCCAGGGATGCGACGGTCCATTGTGAATCCGCCGCGGGTGCACACTGTGCTGGGCCCCCCAGCAGGCCTCGAAAGTGGCGACAGTTTCACAGATCGCAGCCCCCCAGGGATGGCGAGGTCCCATTTGAATCCGCGGTGGGTACCCACTGTGCTGGGCCCCCCAGCAGGCCTCGAAAGTGGCGACAGTTTCACAGATCGCAGCCCCCCAGAGATGGCGAGGTCTAATTTGAATCCGCGGTGGGTACCCACTGTGCTGGGCCCCCCAGCAGCCCTCGAAAGTGGCGACGGTTTCACAGATCGCAGCCCCCCAGGAATGGCGAGGTCAAAGGCAGGGGGGAAGGGGGGGGGAAGGGAGGGGGTGGGAAGGAGACGCGCGAGCAGTGCTCTATTCAAAACGAGAACCCAACGCAGGAGGGTTGGGAATAAACAAATAAATCACGCACAGCAGCGGCAAAACCTTTGACGATTGATTGACGCACAATCCGTTGCCCCACTCAACGGCCGTTTACTGTAGAGGCTGGCCGGGTAAACGTCACCACAATCAGGGGGAGGGGAAGGAGCTGAAAGGACAAGGAAGGGCGGAGGAAGAGGACAAAGGCGAGGCGAGAAGGACTGACAATGGCGATGGGGGGGCCTCCCCAACGGCCTAACTGGCAAACCGTGAAGTGAGGCAGCAAGCGGCGGCAAGCGAGGGGAAAGCGCACAGCACAAACAGCAAGCTGCAGCCCATGCAGACTCGCGGCTGATAGAAAATGTGATCCAAATCCTATCGCACAGGGGGCGGAAGCAAGAGGAGGGAGGAGAAGAGGCGCGACGAACCCACGGGGCAAACATATAAAATGCTAGCAAGCCGGCTGGGCGGTATGTGCTGAAATGAAGCACGGCTGTGCCCCACAGCAGCGGAGAACGGCGTCCACGAGGCGAGAGGACGAGCCCTGGGCGACAAGAGCGGCCCGCGGGGTCGGCCAACCGCGGCCGTGGGCAAAGTCCACACAAGCTGCCCGTGCACATGATTGAACTAACGACGGCGGAGGCGAGGAGGGAGAACCGCGGGAGGGACCGAGGGGAGGGAGGGGGGCGGAGGACAAAGGGGGGAAGGGGGGAGCAGCGTTTTCGACGTGCGCTTCTGCTTCAACACAGGCCAATTCTCGACGAGCCTCTCGGCTGGCACGCGCCGCTGGCCCCGTCCAATGACGGAATTACGCAATCTGAATACTGCTCTCCTCTCCTCTGGTGACGCCCGGGAACTGGCTGCCCAGCCTCCTGCGCACTTGTTTTTTCGCACAGGATTCCTGGGAAACGGGTTTTCGCTAGGCTGTTTTTCAAAATGCTGCTCTCGCTGAGGCGCTGGCTTCATTTTCGGGCCACCGCTCGTTCCGAATCGTGCTCCCGCTGCAGCGCTGGCCTCATTTCCGCGCTTCCGCTCGTTCCGAATCGTGCTCCCGCTGCAGCGCTGGCGAAATTATTTCCAGCGCCATGCCACGGTATGTTTTCGGTGCTTCCAAATAGATGGTAAAATCTACAAAATGCCCCCCCCCCCCCCCGAAAAAAACATCGGAAGGGATTACACATTCGGTGTCGATTCGTTGATTTATTGGGTCGCAGAACCCCCCACACTTTAGGGCGTCGCCACGCCATGCTATGTCAAGCTCCGCGTCCTCCGAATCGTGCTCCCACAGCAGCGCTGGCCTCATTCCCGCGTTTCCGCTCGTTCCGAATCGTGCTCCCACTGCAGCGGTGGCGTCATTATTTCCAGTGCCATGCCACGGCATGGATTTGGTCCTTCCAAATAGTCCCCAAAATCTGGAAAATGGCCTCTCGAAGAAACCATCGGAAATGATTCCACTGATTACACGTTCGGTGTCGATTCGTTGATTTTCTGGGCCGCAGAGCCCCCCACTTTGGAGCGTCGCCACGCCATGCTATGTCAAGCGACGCGTTGATATTCAGCACCACGCTATCCCATGAAATGCGATGTCATGCTGCGACATCCGATTGTGCGAATAGAGAAAAGATCCACGCCATGGTAATGGATGGGAGAGAGGGGTAAGACGACAGATATGGCGGAAACGCACCTAGCTTGACATACACCCCCTCCCCCAGGCGACCGGCAGCTAACCAGGAAAAATGAACACACCATGATCACCCCCCCAAAACCATCGCTATCAAGAAACAATACGAAACACGTTCTGCCTCCGAATTCCGAGCATGCGCAACCAACCCGATGCGCCCCCCCACCATCCCTATCGAAAACAACATATAATGCACTTTGGGGCAAAGTCTGGAGTCATGTTCGTGAGGTCCGCGAGCACTATGTATTGTGTTTGTTTTGACAGGGGCGGCGGGGGTGTCAGCAGATTGCCGGCGGCGCGCAGAGCTACCATCCCTAACAAAAAACAATACAAAACGCACCTCGCGGCTTAATCTGCGTCGTGCGCGGCCACCCCGCGATCACTGTAACATGCTTTTGTTGACAGGGACGGCGGGGGTGGTGGCGTATGGCCCTCTTTGCGCAGGCTCACCAGACACAATGGTGGGCATTGGCTTCCGAAATGGATGATGGGGGCCGACATGTGTCCCGATGTGGTCTGTCACGTGCGCAGGCGCACCTGACAGAGACTGCACGTGCCCCGAACGTGGCGCACCTGGCGCGGCTGGAGTATGCGGCACACATGGCGCACGCGGAGGCACGTGGCGCATCTCGCGCACCAGGCGTGCCTGGCACGCTCGGGCCCCAGGGGTGTCTGGCGCGCGTGGCGCGCCTGGCACGCGTGGCGCACTTCGCCCGAGCGTCGCGCACATGGGCTCGGTGTTCGTTCCCAGTAGCTGTCAATCCAAAGACGACCGCTGAACATGATGAGGCCCGGGTGTTACTTATGTATTGGGAGGGCGGGTGGGAGTGAGCTAGACGGCTTCCTATCTAGGAGGGTGTTTTGACCCCTCCCCATACCCACTCCCCTGGACCTGGACGGGGCGCCCCGCGGGTAGTTGGAGCGTCCCAAATGGCCCAAGA